TTTGAGAAGCTGATGAAAAAAATCCTGCCATTTATCTTGTCTTTTGAGTTCTGGACATAAATGTTTCATTCTGATAAGGGTTTACCATACCTCGCTGCTTTTTTCTTGTCTTTCTGTCTTCACTTTCATCTGTTTTGTGCAATTTTAACCATAAGTCTTTCTAAGTTTCTTATGATTGGAAGACTGATATGAGCTATTGGACAGATAAATGGTTGTAAGCATCCCAGCTGAAAAAAAGGCCCCTTGATTGGCCTTTTGTCTTTTTCATTCACTCCCAGCTCAGCCGGCATCTCTCCTCCTGCAATATATTCAATGAATAATGCAAGAAGTGAGTACTGGGTCATGTGCTAGACACTCATTTTGCTTTTTCCATCATGTTCTGCAGGAACGCAGACATGTTGGAGACAAAGTGTAGAGTGGGGGAGAAAGGAACACATTAAATAAATCGTCACAATTTTTTACTGGCTACTTTCTGCGCCACAAAATAATATTTTTTCTAGTTGAATGACTTTTTTTACAAAATCATAACTTTGAAAATAGACTAGTTTGATTTAATGTTTAATATAAAGCATCATATTAATTCTGCCTCATGAGATGGAAACACAGTCACTGCCTCAAGAGGGAACATACTGCTTCATGTTTTAATGGCTGCCATATATTTCTGGACTTACAGTTTAAAGAAATAGCTGTTAAAGTCTGTGCCACTTGAGGCTAAAATTACAGTTTGAAACCAGCCTTTTCTCTTGGGAGATAGGGTATTGATCAGCATCTGGTATTAGTGGACACTTATAGACCTAGTTTTTGGTGTGCATAATATACTTATTAGAATTTGGTCTTCTTAGTTTTCTGTCAAACATAGCCAGTGACCACGACTAACAAATCTGCTTGTAACTGAACCAGAAATCAAACACAAAAAGGCACAGCTAGTGCAGTCGTCTGGGACAGATATGTTAAAATAAAACAAAGGAAATGCCATCCACAAAAATACGAAATGCGAGTTTTAACAATGTTTGTTTACTTAATAAAAAGGGAATATTCAGATGTCTTTAACCTTTATACCTAGAGCACTCTTAGTCCCTGCTGGAGAGCACTATTTCTTGCCTTGTTTCAAATGTCAGCTCCATTAACCTATCTGAACACTTGACTTTGGGTTTTGTTAATTGGTCGCCAAGATTACTTTGCATAATGAAAAATAAAGCTGACATTTTAAATTTGCCCTCACCAGAGACGGAGCTTGTTAATGTTTGCAACAAAGAACAAAATGATCTGTGCTTTTGTTTAGTTTGGAAAGACCTCTTAAAGCTGAAATAATAATAATTTGGATTTGTCAGAAACAAAGGCAGGGTAATGCTGTGAAAACATGGAATAAAAAAGGTTTGGATTTAGTAACATGAGACATCACTCTGTGCTACAATGCTGACAATATTTAATGCATCACATTCAAATAAATCTTAATGCCAGCGAGTGATGAAAAAACAACCACCTCTGTAATAAGCGTACATGAATCTATCATCATCTCATTATGCGTCCACTCACTAAGAACCTTACAATGGCATGTATACAGGGTATCTTTGTGCATTGTTAAAGAAATCAGTTTACACTAGTTGTCTGCATATATTGAGGGAACTTTCAGACAGGCTGTGGGAGGACACTTTCAAGACTAACTGCTGTCAACACTGATGTTTTCAGATTTTATGACCGTCACTGATAACGTGGTGAGCACCTAACCATCTTGGGGTCGAGAATGAGTGACATTATGCTAACCTACAAAGTGAAACAGGAATCTGCACCCTTCCAGTACGATGACCCTGAACGTAAAAGGTTAAAAATTCAGATATATTCATACTGACAACCCATTGGCTGTAGGACTAAATGTATGCTCTATAGTGAGCACAAAGAACAGTGTACGCACATACTTCCTGTTGGAGTAAATTTATGTGTCACACCTTTTAATGAATATATTCTGAATTTGACAAAACCTTAGTCATAGCAGAACTTATATTTTCTACTCAGAGCTGTTTTTCCCCTCTGGGTTTTTATTAAGACAGCTTCTAAAGAATTGTACACAAAATACAATCATGATTCTGTTCAGAAAAGGGATGTACTGTAATGGTAAAGAACAGTCTTCTTTACTAAAGTTAAACATGCATTTTTTGGTTTAAACATGAAATCAGTGGGCAGCATTTCTCTCTTGAACTATATGAGACACTTGGCCTTTTAAAGAAGCTGCTAGCTAATAAATTTAGACAATTTTTTTTAGTAATACTGAAAAAGTTATTTTATGTACGTTGTAGTTGGAAAACTTTGAAGTACTCATAAGCTAAAGATTTGGCCATGAATACAACTTTGCAGACAAATAAAAGCCCTTTTGTTTTGTCATTTATTTGATAAGAAACACATTTCTTATTTCATTCTAGTGATGAATTGTAGAGCTAAGCAACTTTAACCGAAAATTTAGTAACAATTAGCTGTGCAGTTTTAAATCAAATTGATGACAAAATGTTAGTATTAAATACCAGAGGACAAGTCTTTGTGTGCCATTACAGCCAAAAACAGTACATTTAAAGGGATCCCTGATTAGTTATAACATTAGACTTTATTCGAAAAACATTTATTTTAACTGTAAAATAAAGACTGTAAAAAGGCTGTTTAGTTTTGTACATTTTTTAAAATATATTTTAACACTGACAGAGCCATTTTATTTACACGCAAAGCATTCTGGGTCAATGATGACGCGGATAGGTCATCGGTGTGAGGCTGCTCGTGAGCTATATCCACCCTGAAGGTTAATCTTGGACAATATCTGACGATCGGCTCTTTTAAATGAAACCAGAGAGCGTTGACAGRGAGGAGAAGGTAGAAATGACTCAGCCTGGAACTGAAAATATAGATGGAGGACAACAGAGCTGCTTCATGGAAGAAGAACCTCAGCTTAGCTTGTTAGCCTTCACGCTAGCACCAATGCTATATTGCCTTATATGTAATAGCTCGGTGCTAGCACGACAAAGTTTAGCTTGTTAAAGCTAAACTGAGGTCCTCCATCCATATTTTCAGTTACAGGCTGAGTCATTTCTACCTTCTCCTCTCTGTCAACGCTCTCTGGTTTCATTTAAAAGAGCCTATCTTCAGATATTGTCCAAGACTAAGCTTCAGGGTGGATATAGC